ACTTATTATGTTGTTGAGAAGAGGATGCTTTAAAAATGGCATTCACTGGATGGAAGAGTACTTAAGCTAAATGTGCCTTCTAAATGCTGCTGGGATTAGTAGCATCAAGATAGCTGCCCCTCCCTCCTGCAGCATTGAGTTGCTAAACTATCTAGGCTGAAATAAATTATTCAAGCAAGGGTCGCCAACCTTGTTGAGCCTGTGGGCCCTTTGGGGCATTCTGAAAAAGGGCTGTCATGAGATTCAAGGTTACAGATGTTATATCACTTGAGTCGGAGCGAATAGGGGGTAGGGATCTCACTACCGACCTTCGGTGGGGCGCCTTTGGTGCCAGCGCCGCGGGTCAGGAGTTTGGGAGTGCTCCTGGATGCCCCTTTAACAGTGGAGGCCCAAGTAGCAGCCACTGCCAAGGCGGCCTTTTACCATCTACGGCTGATCAGGCAATTGGTTCCCTTCCTCAAACGCAACGACCTTGCAACAGTGATCCACGCGATGGTCACCTTGAGATTAGACTATTGTAATGCTCTCTATAGCCAGTTTGGTGTAGTGGTTAAGTGCATGGACTCTAATCTGGGAGAACCGAGTTTGATTCCCCACTCCTCCACTTGCACCTGGCTGGATGACCTTGGGCAAGCCGTAGTTCTGATAAGAACTGTTCTTGAAAAAGAACAGTTTCTGTCAAGAGCTCTCTCAGCCCCACCTACCTCACAGGGTGTCTGTTGTGGGGAGAGGAAAGGAGTTTGTAAGCTGCTCTGAGACACCTTTGGGTAGTGAAAGGCAGGGTATAAATCCAATCTCTTCTTCTTCTTCTACTACATGGGGCTGCCTTTGTCCCAGATCCGGAGGCTGCAGCTAGTGCAGAATGCCGCAGCCAGGCTGTTGATGGGCCTCTCCATACAGGACCACATCCGGCTTGTGCTGAGGACACTGCACTGGCTGCCTATAGCGTACTAAGTTCGGTTCAAGGTGTTGGTTTTAACCTTTAAAGCCCTATATAGTCCGGGGCCTGCCTACCTGAGGGACCACCTCTCCCCATACGAGCCCCAGAGAGCACTGAGCT